TAAAGGGTTAAGCTGCCTTAACAGAACGAGCGCATACAGTGCATTCAGAAGGTATTCAGACCCCCTTCACTTGATCGCCTGATACTAAAGTTGTTTAAATTCTTTTTTCTTCTCAATAATCTACACTCCGTGCCCCATAATGACAAAGTGAAAACAGAATTTTAGAAATGTCTGTGAATTTAGTAAAAAGAAAAAAACTGAAATATCACATAAGTATTCACACCCTTTACTCTGTACTTTGTTAAAGCACCTTTGGCAGCAATAACAGCCTCGAGTCTTTTTGGGTATGACGCGACAAGCTTTGCACACCCGGATTGGGGGATTTTTTGCCATTCTTCTTTGTAAATCCTCTCAAGCTCAGTCAGGTTGGATGGGAACTGTTGGTGAACAGCCATTTTCAGGTCTCTAGAGATGTTCAATAGGGTTTAAGTCAGGGCTCTGGCTGGGCCACTCTAGGACATTTAGAGAGTTGTCTCTAAGACACTCCTGTGTTGTCATGTTGGTAGGTGAACCTTTGGCCCAGTCTGAGGTCCTGAGCGCCGTGGAACAGGTTTACATTGAGGATATCTCTGTACTTTGGTCCATTCAGCTTTCCCTGAACCCTGACCAGACTCCCAGTCCTTGCTGCTGAATTGTTGGGATGGTATTGGGCAGGTGATGAGTGGTTTCCTCCAGACATAACATTTAGAATTGAGGCCAAACAGTTCAATCTTGGTTTCATCAGACCAGAGAATCTTGTTCCTCACAGGCTGGAAGTCCTTCAGGTGCTTTTTTGCAAACACCAAGCAGGCTTCCATATGTTTTGCAGGTGAGGAGGCTTTCTTCTAGCCACTCTGCCATAAAGGCCAGATAGGTGGAGGGCTGCAGTGATGGTTGTCCTTCTGGAACTTTGCCCCATCTCCCCACATGATCTCTGGAGCTCAGTCAGAGTGACCATCGTGTTATTGGTCACCTCTCTTATAAAGTCCCTTCTCCCCTGATTGCTCAGTTTGGCCGGGCAACCAGGTCTTGGAATAGTCCTGGTTCTGCCACATTTCTTCCATTTGAGAATTATGGAGGCCACTGTGCTCTTGGCAACTTTCAGTGTAGCAGAATTGTTTTTTTTAGCCTTCCCCAGATCTGTGCTTTGCAATAATCCTGTCTCTGAACTCTGCAGGCAGTTTCTTTGACCTCATGGCTTTTGCTCTGATACTTTGGCTTTTAAGACGTCTATGGACTTTTTGGGATACTGAATTTTGTCGCAGTATCACAGACGCACACAATTTTTAACCCGGGCATGTTGGGTATCTATTTGGTATCTATGTTGGGAATCTCTTTTAGATTGTAAGCCCTCAGGGGCAGGGCCCTCCTTACCATCTTGTCTTGAATTGTATTGTAACTGTTATGTCTTCCTTATATTGTAAAGCGATGCGCAAACTGTTGGCGCTATATAAATACTATGTAATAATAATAATATTTACTCGTTGTAACCATCTTTTATATCTTATAAAAAAAATGGGTATTTTATTGTGTTTTGGGCCTTTTAAGTGCATTTTTCCTTACATTTTTGGGTTTGATAATAAGTTGCGCTAATATCATGCAACACAAAAATTTGCAACTGCCTTCATTTTATTCCACAGGGTCTTGGCTTCCAGAAAATATATAATGTTTGGAGGTTTGAAGTAATTTTCAGGCCTAAAATGTGGATTATGACATGGGTGCAAAAAAATGGAAAAAATAAATATATAAGGCCTCGGTCATTAAGGGGTTAAACAACTGTAGTATCAGGCTGCAACATAACAAAATTGAAATAAGTGAAGGGGGTCTGAATACGTTCTGAATGCACTGTAGGTGTGAAAGGAATGCACATAGCGTTATGTTTGAACAAAGACTGCACTCCAATACAAAATCTCATTCCAATTAACAAGGTGGACAGTGTACAATGGAATAGGGCTGCCTGGCCTGTGCTCCAACAAATTTCCATGCTCTAACCGGAAACTCCTCTGTAAAGTCATGGCCCTGTCTGATATAAAACTCAAAACGGATAGTGCCATACACTATGACGCAGGGGTAGATCAGCAACAGACTTGCTAATGATTCAACCGTGGGAGAAAGAACATACACAGACAATTACCGTGTTTCCCCGAAAATAAGACCTAGCACTATCTTTGGGGATTTCTGTAATATAAGACCTACCCCGAAAATAAGACCTAGCACTATCTTTGGGGATTTCTGTAATATAAGACCTACCCCGAAAATAAGACCTAGCACTATCTTTGGGGATTTCTGTAATATAAGACCTACCCCGAAAATAAGACCTAGCACTATCTTTGGGGATTTCTGTAATATAAGACCTACCCCGAAAATAAGACCTAGCACTATCTTTGGGGATTTCTGTAATATAAGACCTACCCCGAAAATAAGACCTAGTGTCTTTTTTCGTAGAAAAAAAAATATAAGACACTGTCTTATTTTCGGGGAAACACGGTATGAATATGGGACAATTTGTTCAGGAGACTGGTTTGGCTATTCAAGCTAGACATGACAACAATCTACATGACCTTATACAGATATAGGAACAGCAATGGGCCAAAACACCTCCATGTAAAGTGGTATGATCAGCAACTATAGAAAGAGTTAGGTCACTGGAAATAAAGGAGTTTCCACTAGTTTTAAATACGGCTTTGCATACCCTTACCATGAAAGGCCTTGACTGGTCAAGGTTTGCTTAACACTCTTGTGACCAGAGGTCACTCATGTCTAGATGGCCAGACCAAATTTAGCCACGTCGAGTTAACTTCATAATGACTATGATTCAGGGCTTGTTCACATTTATTGAGCCCCGTATTTCTGCACACCACCGCACATGTGTAATGTGAACAGGGCACATAGAAAACAATTGTTCACACCATACATGAGCTGCGTATTTCTGCATGCCACAACCCAACAGCCACGGTGTGAACAGGGAGGCAGTCTTCCTATCTAAAAATATTTGATATCTGTTTTCAAAAGGACATAAAGGCTTCTATCTGGTATAAATACCCAGCTCAGATTTATTACAGGCTGACATAAAAAAATAAAAATCGAGAAAAATAAATTACAATTTTATTAATAAAACAATGTATGGTCACAGCAAGTGCACAGAGAAAGATCTACGCCAGCAGCCGTTACCTCTTACTGACAAAGCCCAGTAAATGCCATGTAATCACGGACATGGTTGTCATACGATGGAAGCCACGCTGATTGGTACCCGATTATTAGTACAGACTGGAAGCGGTCAGTGGCAATGTGGTCTTACAGCTAAGGGGACCCAACCCTCATTACCTACTTTGTGAAAAGCGCATTATTTACAGATCTTAACAGCATAAGCTGAAATGTACACGCACCGCAGTGATTCCCCCTTCCCCTCCCTCCCTACATTTGCAGGAAATCCTCTGCTGTGTTCTCTTTTTAGAGCTCTGGAAATACTGTGTGGTGGGTGAACCCTGGTTGAAATGTTTCTTTGTGAAACAAAGATTTTGTGTGTATTTAAGATACAAGACTTCATTTTTGAAAACATATAAAAGGGCTCAAGCACATGGGTGCATTGAGGTTTACAATGTAACATAAAAGGCAGGATCTTGCTGGCAGCATGTAAGCTGTCCAAACACTAAATGCATGTAATGTTTCCAGGTGTCCAGTGTGAATGCAGCCTGTTGGTTGCTAGGATGCAGGTGGACATTGCCGTCTAGTGTCCTTCGTTGTAAGGACAGAGCTCTTGCGGATAGCGTCCCTGGTTGCCAAACTGCATGCGGCCCGTGATGCCTACCATCCTTCATTGCTAAAAAGAAAGGGACTCATACTCCAATAGAAGTCCATTAACCCATTGTACTCCTGACCGCTTAATCCAAAAGCAACTGGTGGGTGGTGTTCTATCAAAGTTTGTGACTACGTAAGAATGTGTGACCGGTGACGCGGTCATACATTTTAACATAATCCCGCCCAGTTTTACAGCAGTGGAATGTGTGACCGGTCACACATTTTAACGTAATCCCACCCAGTTTTACAGCAGTGGAATGTGTGACCTGTCACACATTTTAACGTAATCCCACCCAGTTTTTCGGCGGTGGAATGCGTGGCCGCCAATAGCTCAAGCATTCCAACGCTTTCTCAGCTGTTCCAGGGCAGATCGGAATCGCAGATCGTTTGTGCAGGAGAACCGATCTGCCCTGGAACAGCTGATCGTTCCTGAGTGTCACTTCTATCCGACCTTGTGAGTGCGATCTCGCATTCCACTTGACTACATGTAAAGCAATAAAAAGATGATAGGGGTTCTAACCTTCCCCTACTAAAAAGAACAAACATTTTGGACGCGTCCCTGTTGCAGAATTTCCCCTCACTTCCTGTCTTCTGAAGCTGTTGTCATTGTTAAAGTAATTGAGATGAAACCTTTCAAACAGAGACCCTGAACAGTAAAAACCCAACAGGGGTTGGATCCTTCCACACTCCATCACAAAGTTTTGGCTGGACATAAAATGTAGGATTTAAATAAGGCAATTTAAAGCTGAACTGTAAACTATATATAAAATATCCCTGGCAGGGCCAAGGGGACCCTGTAAAATATTGCAGTAGCCAAATCTACCACAATGTCTTACAACGTTGTTCTGGCTTCTGTATGATGCTGAGCGGCTTCCCCCCTGCTATAAAAACACAGGGGGTTCCTAGACTGGCACAGCGGCCCTTCAAGAGTATGCCTAGTATTTTTATCAATGCAAACAAGGCGTTCTCCGATTGGACGAGGCGACGTGATGTCACAGCGTAGCTGGAGTTCACCTTAAATGATATGAATTAAAGGAACATAAAATCACATTTCAGGGGCCATTCATTACATAACATTTCTAGAGGTTCAGACTTGCTCACAACTGTACATATAGGTTTCATGTGATTATCATACTGAGTATCTAATCGTCTGTTCCCAGGAGATATTTTGTTACGTATGGCTGGTTTTCTGACAATAATGCCAGTGAAGACGACTGCAGACAACCCCCTTCAGCCTAAAATGGCTGATCAGAAGACACAGATGCAACTACAGTGTGACATAACTTTCTCTGTGGGTAGGTGAGCTTTTGCATATGCTTGTTATCTGTCAGCTAAGTTCTGGCTCTTCAATCATTAAAATAGATGATCGCAATGTATTAAGTCCAAAACATAACAGAAACTATATAACAAAGTAACTGGCTGAACAACTTTTTAGTGCAAAATTCTAAAAATCTTTCAATATTTGGAAGCTTGCTTCATTGGGAAACTTTTTACAGCACGTTGAATTATTCTGGAATAGAAGAACATTTCTTCCTTAAAAGGGTGCAGACTCCGATATTGATTTCCTCACAATCATTTGAGTGATCAAAGTTCTTCCCCTAGTAAAAGGAAATAAAAGCTAGGAAATAAAGTTGCCTGTGGAGATTAGTTCTCTGTTCATGTCAAACCCTAAACTTGCCAAGGTAAAAAGATACGAGAGAGGTATTAACGTCCGCGCATCCATCCGCCTCCCATTAACGATGACCAGTGTACGCTTTGAACCAGGAGGTGACAGAAGCAGCAGCAGAGGAGATCATACCCCCTGCGCTGCTGCTGGCTATAGGTTGAGACATCATCGTGCTCTGACTGTCCAACATCTCGAGGGGCTGGGAGGGGATATCGCAGAATTTGGGACTTGGCAGGTTCTCCCAGTCAGTTCCCAGATCTGTCTCTTCGTCGCTTATGTGCTCATCTCCACTATCGTCACTCTCGCCGTCTCCGCTTGGATCTACAAATTCCATCGAGTCTTCCAGATCTGCAGTAATTTCAAATGGCCCGGACCTAAAAAAAACAACAAAAAAGGAACATTAAATGTTCAATGCAGCAAAATCAAAATGATCCGTAATTATAAAGAAATACATCTTTAACCCCTTGCTGTCCGCAGCGATTTCTTACTATTTGCACACATGATAACATCTGAATTTTTTGCTAGAAAACATCTTCAGACCCCCAAACAATGAGATATTTTCTGAAAGCAGAGGCCCTGTAGAATTGCGTTCGCCCCTGAAACCGCAAAAAGCTACAAAACCCCAAATTTCCTGTAGGCGACGCTTTAAAAGCTTTTACTGCTCATCAGTTTAGTGTTAACAGGGACTTATAGACCTAGAATTATTGCTCTCACTCCGACGTTTGCGACAATATGTAATGTGTAAATAGTAAAAATGTCACCAGCACACCATAAAGATTTTAGCAAAACTCCATTTAATGACAAATTGTCATTCACTTCTAAGCGCTTTCGGTGCCATCCGTGGTCACTACAAGCACCCACCTGTCTTTACAGGTTAACCATTGTTCCGGTAAGGAGTGCAGCAAGATATCTACTCCATTAATATGTAGTGTGTGGCGCAATTTTCGTTTTTGCACGTTGGCGCACCCAACGCGTGTTTTTGTTGTATGTGCATGCATGTGGGGGGCGGGGTACTTTCATTATTTTTTTTATATTTAACGTTATTTCTATCACATAGGGGGCTAACAAGCCCCCTATGTAATAGAATATGACAGGTCCTTTTTATGGAGACATCAGAGGTCTTTCAGACACCTGTCACCTAGGGACCCCAAAGAAGCCGATGAAGCAGCAATCAGCTTCTGCAGCTTCTCCTGGCTCTAAGAGCTGCAGAATGTGCACAGTAACCCCGGAAGTGATGTAACACACATCACTTCCGGGTCTAGTGATCAAAGGAGAGATCAGCAGCTAGAAGCCTACTCATCTCCCTCCGATCAGAGGACACCTGTCGTGCCGATCCCAGGCCCGGAAGGGGGACAGCGGAGCCTGGGGTAGCCGGCACCAGATCGCTTGTATCTAAACAGCAATCGCCTGCTGTGTTCTTGGTATAACTACTTCAGGACAGGACGTTTCTTTGATGGTGGGCGGTCCTGAAGTAGTTAAAGGCTAGATTTATCTTTCTGACCACGTTTCATGCTACACTTATATTTAGGGTGCTTTTGTTTAAATTCGGCACTGCTGTGTGTGGGCCCAACGAAATAGCCACGTCATCCATTCACAAATTCTTTGACAGGATCTGTAAATGAAGAAACTAGAAAGATTTGACCTGGTATCAGCCTTGTGAGATCCCGAATACAGCAGCGTGCAAATCAGTGCTAGGAGGAGCATTTAGAAAATTGTATTCCACAATTGCAAGTGGTGTCACTCACCTGGCTGTGCGGCAATGCGGTGTAAAAGTTAGGACTGAACAGACAAATATACACATTCTTTGGAAGGTAAAACAACCCCCATGTGTGGACATTTTATATGTTCATTTAGTGGTTTGCCTTGATTTGAGCTTTAATTCTGGGGATTAGGGAAGACTACAGTCAGATTTGGTAGAAGGTAATCACAATATAACACTTTAGTACAAGCAACCTTAAAAAGGTCTATGTTTTGAACCTACAAATCTCCGTAAGCCTTGTAGGTTGTTCCAAGGAGCCGCAAGTTTAATTTATTCGGAACAGAAAAAGAAAAAAAAAAACCCTATAATCTCACCTTCCCAGGTTTTCACTGTCTGGACTGACCAAGTACATGAGATTCCTGAGTGTATGTAGTGGGTGCAGGAGGTCCAAATCCACGTGCTAGAAAGAGATATTGAGTGAAAACTGAACAATGGTATAGCACATTACAGACAGAGGTGTAAGTTTTAAATGACATCCCACACAGTCAGTAATATAGTCATATCTACCCATAAAGCATGGTGAGGCATGGTGAATGTAAATACAACCACGACGTGGGAATAAAACCAATCTAAAACCAATTTTAAAACTTAATCCAAATTCTTTTTTTGGTTAACTTTTTTTTTTTATAAAAAAAAAAAATGGTTTTCTATCTCTTAAAAGGATTCTAAAAAATATTTATTTCACTCTTGTGTCATTTGCAACAAGAGTGCCTCTGTGACAACTGGGGGGGGGACACACCATTTTGGGAAATGACACCACGGCCTCCTTGTTCGTTGGCAGCCTGTGTGCGACTAAGTCAGATGATCCAATCTCTGTTGGGTTAGAGGAAGGAGCAAGTGTTCTCCTCTTCCATCCACACTGTAGTCCACAAGAGGGAAGGGGAGTGTGATCCTATACAACCCGCTCAGCAGGCAAAAAGGAGGGAAGGGGAAGCGTTGCCCTCTACCACCAACTCTGCACCCCATGGGAGGGTAGGTGGAGTGACGTCAACTACCACCCACTCTGCACCCCCATATGAGGGTAGGAGAAGAGTCCTCCTCTACCACCCACTCTGCACCCCATGAGAGGGTAGGGGGGATTGTCCTCCTCTAACATCCATTCTGCACCCCATGAGAGAAGAGGGTAGGGGAAGTGTCCTCCCCTACCACCCACTCTGCTGAGAGGGTGGGGGTTGTATCCTCCTCTACTCCCCACTCAATTCCCTAACACAGACCCCTCCTTGCATGTTATAACCTCTAATTACTCTCTTTACTGGCCCAGCTCCTCCGCACCTCCCTACAAAGTGTTATGTAGCAGTCAGGGGAGGACCAAAGGGGCTCCAACACTGTTTGATGTTCAAATTAGTGGTCTGGCAACAGCTTCTCTTTTAGGGATTTTATACTTGTAAAATCCTTCCTGTACCAGAAGGTCCTATAGGCCGTCTCAGTAACATTTTTTTCCACCTCATTAATAGATTGGAGACATCGCCAGCATTGTTTTGCCTATATGTGCTAGAAAGATAAAAGGGTAATTTTTACCATAAAATCCTTTCCAAGAAGCAAATAAGATGACAAAGTTTTCCTCCACACGACATGCTTAATGTTGTGGAGCTTGTTCTTGTTTTTCTGTGTCCTAGCTAAGTGCAGGACTTCGGTAAGGTAGAAGTTGTCACTGGTTTTAGAGAGAAGGGAAGTCTGACCGTTTTCTTGCCATTATCTGTCCTATGGGAAGGGACTCAACCCTACAGTCTCTGCTGCTTGTACTAAGCCAGCTTCTGTAAGACTTTGGCAAGCGTTATGGATTCATAGTTATGGATTCATACCAACACTCCAGTCAACACTTGTGTACAGAGCCTAAAGCGATTATTAATAGGGAGGTTGCTGCATGGAAGAAAATTCACACCCTTTACATACAAATATGATCCAAATTATTCACACGTATAAACTTTCCTTTGTACGAAAAGTGCAAAATGCAGTGCCAGTCATATTACAGCGCAGTCAGCATAAATGCATTTTCAGCAGGTTTACCTATTCTGAGTACTGACAGGCCTCCTAGTAGGTAATACACGGCATGGTGCATTTTTTTCAGCTTACTGGAGTTCAGCTTTGTTGATGCAATTTTAAAAGTAATTTACAATCATTTAAAATCTTCAGCTTTCATCAAAATACTCGATACTCCCGCCATGAAATGCAGGCACTTCCTGTTATAGGCTAAGTTCACAAAGTCTGTTTTTATTGCACCCTGACCGCCTATCTACAATATGGCAGCCGCTCAGGACTGTAAACAATGCTGTGACGCTTCACTATGCGTCAATTTCAACTAGGCAGCACCCATCAATCTTCCCTATTGAAGTCAATGGCACCATGCAAAAAAACACTTGGCACGCAGATGCAGTAGTTTTTTAATGTAAAAAAAAAAAAGGGGCATTCAAGAGGCAACAGTATGCCTGAAAAACAACCGCTCAGCACACCTCTGAAAAACAATCCATGGTGTATTGCTTTTCAGAGGGGTGGCAGAGCCCTGTGTCCATGTGAAAATAAACCATAGGGTGACCATAGCCCGCTATATACTGAGCTTGGGGTCACAGGAGGAGGTTAGTATATGTCCTCCCGGGAACCTAAAGAGAACTATGGGATAAAAAGCTTACCCCATAGTTCTCTTCTAAATGGCAGCAAAGAGGCGATCGGTAGCACAGAAGCAATGAAGGAAGAAAAATGTCAAAAACAAGAATTTTATTTAAAGAAAACAGTAACTATAACATACAGTGATTTAGAAAACGTCATCCAGTTAGGGCCCACGTCTACCTTAATGAACATGCCAGAGTGAATATGTTGTTTGTTAGGGGGAACGCACTGAGCGATATACATTACTTCTACAAGAGGGCACTAGGACAAATAAAGCTTATATGACAGCTGGACATTGATACATACCTGAGAAAAACACAGATACAAGATGTTAGAATTCAACTTGTTCACTGCCCGGTTGAACTTCCATCTGCTCAAATTTTCTCCACAAAACTCACTAAAAATTGAACATACAGCATGTACTCAGTCAGTAAGAGAAACATTACAAATGAGTCCGCTCTGAGAGGGCGAGAACATTAAAAGGCAAAGCAAAGAATTACAGGAAATCTGTTTAGACATAAAATAGAATCAATACTTGTACACATGCCAATCTGCAGCAAACATACATTTGTAGAAGGAAACATAAATGTAAAAGGAAATTACATATATCATCCCAGTTACTAAAGTTTAAGTGCAGGGGTTCTTATTTATAATTATAGATCCCCAACATATAGCCCAATATATCCAAAATCTTCTTAACCAGACTGTCAAAATCATCCCAGTCCTATTAGGCTCCAGCGTGACTTTAAAGCATGTCAATAGTTCGGTTATACTATACACATGGATAGCTAGGAACAGCGGAAAGAAAATTGGGGGTAAGGGAAGGCTGGAATCCCAGTCATCTTTGTATACTTTTACTGCCTTTGTCCCCATATTCCCTGGAAAGATATAAAAGGTAACTTTTACCATAAAATCTTTTCCAATGAGCAAATAAGGAAAAAATGCTGTCCTCCCCAAGCTATGCCTAAAGAACAACTCTGGGCAAAACTTCTATAAATCCTTGCAGTGGGACTACCCCCATACTGGCAAGGGTTAACTGCTTGTTTCGGTCTAGCAAGGAAAGTTTTACCCACCTGATCCTGAGAGCCGGCCGTCTGTAACTGCGCTGCCTCTGGCCTGTTTTCTCCTCGGCTCCAGAAATGGTATGTCCCTCTCAGCGTCCTCACGTCCTATACACTGTGTATAGGAAGTGATGACTTAAGGATCCATAGACCGAGGGGAAGTAAGGCTGAAGGGACCGGTTTAAGAGAAAGCCGACTCCGATGATCAGGGGATTTTTACTTTAATCACCTGGACACAAACGAGCAGTTAACCCTTGCAGTGCAGGGGTTGCTCCACTGCAAGGGTTGATAAAAATGTTGCCCGGGGTTATTCTTTAACGTTGTGGGGTTCGTTTTGGTGCACACTTATTAGTGAGACCTCACCATCTCTTTCTGTAAACAGCTACCTTTTATCATTAGGTCTCAATCCTCTAAATTAGTGATAACCAGAGTGCGAGGACAAACTTGATTACAAGGCAGCAGATGGCATTTAAAAAAAAAGAGATTTTGAAGGCTTCCTATGCGCATTATTGCAGGTGGCCTTGTTGCTCGGTGAGCTGCCACATTCCGAAGTGCTATTCATACTTGCCTATTATAAAGCTTTCTGGGAAGGTTGACGTTTAATAAGTGTGACAGAGTGTTGACCAGCTGGGTTGCATAGCATAAGGCAGCACTGATTGTGTACGCAGGATTATTCTGCTCCATTTCTGAAAAACAAAACAGTCATTATAAATATAATCTATACACACACATACATACATACATACATACAGCACAAAATCTACAGGAACAACCAAGATCAATTAGGATCTGCTTAGAAAGCCTAGTAAACTGAATATTATGAGACCGTGTGCTGGCCTAATCTAGATCTAGACCTAACCTAAATCTAAGCAGGTCTCAGATATCCTAGGATGGAGGGCAGCTCTCATGCCACATGACTCTGTTCTAGAGTAAGAATAGCGAGGTCTGTAGGAATGAGCATCTAACCATAAACACCATGGTCTGTATTCTCACAGGCCAAGCTCCTGAGTCTTTACAAGATCAGGACACCAGTAACAATAGTTTCAGAGAATATTCACCCCGAGGAAGAGGAATGATTATTCTCTGAAACCAGTCAAATGACAGCTGATCCTTCACTTACAACTCCCATTCACAGGACCTTCTTCTAGACAAACCAAAAACTCGCTGGCCACAAGTAAGCGGCGTCCTGGATACACTGCTCCAAAGGTGGATCCATTTTTCTTACCCTCGTACTCCCATGAAGGATAACTGCAGCACAAGTCACTCAACTCTGCAAACTTCCACCAGTAAACCGTTTTAGAACCCGTTCACACCGGACTGATTTAATGCTTCACCAAAAGGACTTCAACACTCATACTAGGATTCCAATTCTATTCAATGGTGTCCATTCCCACCAGAGTGTCGCATTGCTTGAAGCTCATTACTCCAAAACTTAATTTTTTGTGTGGATTTTCTTGTCTAGAAACTAAAATTTTCATTAGCTAAAAATAATATTGAAATGCTAAAAAAAATATCCCCAAAAAAATGACCAAAAATGTTCAGCTCAAGCATGAACGGGGCCTTATGAAGAGACATTGTTTTGCACTACTATCCTGCTCTCGTGTTTACGCATTGATGTTCATATTAGGCTTCTTGGGGCATACAGATACCAACTATGTGTTTATACATCTGTACTTTTATACAGTACATTTATTATGAACAGTTTTTTTGTTTACCAATCACTGTGCAACACTGTTTCTAGACAAAATGGCTTTGGCAGTTGGAGTACCCCTTGATGTTACTGCGCAAAGCTAATCAATGGATTTCTATTGTCATGGGAAACAATAAAAGATGTGATAGAAGATGCCTACATTGGATGTGGAGGCACAAATATTAATACATAGATGGATCGGAATCTTCTAAATCTCCTTTTTTATATAAATTGTCACATCCTATGCCTACACACCCATTCTGCTAGAAACGAACAGTGTGAGCCGATGATATACAACAGAGTAAAGGGCAGCACATATCCTTACCTGGTCCCTGCGCACTCCTCTTCTCCTCCACCCAATTGTAATAGGCAGAGTAATCCCCATTGTTGGGTAGCGTTATCCAAGGTCCAGCAATACTAATGCTGGTATCTCCATTGTGATCATCACACACCCATCTGCCAGAAAGGTAAGTGGTCCTCCTAGCTTCTGCCAGCTTGCTCACAGTGCTAGAGGTCATTGCATTGTCACTCTCAAATGACACGTCTGCAGGATCCCTAAGAACAGAGATGAGCAAAATGACTATACAACATATTGAAACATTTAATAGTGCGAGGAGCAATTTACAAACATTGACATCCATTGGAACTAATCATTTATAATGATTCCAACCGGATGGATAAAGTGTAAAAATCAGAGGGATGCAATACATAAATGCACTGTCTTCACATGGTCGGTGCTCTTTCCTACGAGTCACTAAAGACCACCTTTGATAACCAAATAAAAAAAGGTGAATTCCCTCAATAAGAGAGCTAGCCTATTACTCCCCTATATGTTTAAATACACAGCTAATACAATTATTCATGTTCGGCTCAGTGAATGCCCCGAGGTGTCGATCCTCTTGTATGCCGATCGGCAGATATTTGCAAGAGTCAATAAATTACATCCTGTGCTTCACAGGACTAATGCTACATTTTGGCAAACATTTCCCTCGACCGATCCTTGGAACAAACTATGTGACAGATGGCAGGGTGGGGGGTGAAAGCTCACCTGTAAGATGTTGGAATCTTTTGTTCTTTTTATTTGATATAACTATTCTCTCATTTATGGGTAACCTGTACATCCAGGTATAAAGAAAAGCTCCCCCCCACCTGGTATAGCTATAGACTAAGACAGATGCACCATGCTCATTTAAAGCAACTCCAGCCACAACTACTGTATGTCATTTTGGATATAGAGTACGAGTTCTTTTTTTGCCCTACTAAGTGGAAATTCCCTTTATTTACAGTCAGGACAGGAAGTGAGGGGAAATCTCTCTAATGGGGAAAAAACATTTTAGAAGAGTGTGGAAGGCCTATACACCTTACAAACACCATCGCATGATTATTTTCGTACGATGATCGAACCGTCGTTCGATTTTCATACACCTGCCCCATCAAGGATTTCAATTGGCGTTCGTTAGCAATATCACCTGGCCGAATTTCGTTGATTGACCGAATGGATGTTAGTTTGCGCATGAGCAGTGTTTTGTTGCCACTTTTTTCATACGAAAACGCCACTAAGCCATCAAATTTTTGTACGATTCGATAGAAGTTTTCTAGTCTGCTGGAAAGACAAAAGTCGAACGGTTGTACAGTAATTGCGGTTCTGCACTTCTCATCAACTGTGTGATTATCGTACGAAAACGCGATCGCAGATGAAAAGCGCGTGATATTCGCAAGGTGTATGGGCACCTTTAGAACTTGACTTCATATTGCTGGCCGTGTCGCCATGTCCTGTTGACAATCATACCCTCCACTGATTGTATGGACATCATAGGGAACAGGTAATGCAGGAAAAACTTCCCATTGGCATAAAAAAAATAAGAGAAATTTTAACTCTACCTTCCTATCAAAAAAAAATAAAGTTTGCCTTTAAATTCTGTTTTTATATCAACCAGGAATCGGAAAGAGTCCTGACCAGCCCTATTGTTGGGACATGAAGACTATATTCTACTCATGTCAATGGTAAAGTGAACAAACACTGTTCTTGTGCAAAACAAGTGGCATAAGTTTAAGGCTGGATTCACACTGCTGCGCTGCAGTATTGTGCAGCAACAAACATTAAGCTCACAGGGTGCCATTCTTGTGAAGGCCACCCTATCACACCGTGGCGTGCTGTATTGTTACAAATAGTACAATGTCTGGTGCATTAATCCTTTCGCTTTTCTGTGGTCAGATGGAAAAGGTGCAACAGAATCCTCCATCTACACTTAACTGTGTGAATGGAGTAATCTCCACCTGAGCCAATCTGTTGCACTTTTTCCATCTGACCACAGAAAATCTGCAGATACATTGTAAGGTGTCAGTGGCGTCACAAGGGGGGTGCGGCTCGCACCCGGGTGACACCATTGGAGGGGTGACACCAAAATGACTCACTCACAGTCATTTTGGTGTCACCCCCATCTGAAAAGTCGGGCGCTCGGTCATGGACCGAACGCCCGACAGTATCAGGAGAGAGGAGGGAAACAGCGGCATACCTTATCCCGCCGGGTGACTGTCCCCTCCTCTCTCTGCCGGCGTCCATCACCAAGATGGCCGCCGGCAGGTATCAGAATACTGCCGCGCAGGAGCGATGACGTCCCCGCGTGTGGTGACATCACGCGCAGTGACGTCTCGGCGGGGTGATACTCGGTTACCGCTCCAGGTGTCACCCAGCCTCGGGACGCCCCTGTAAGGTGTATGGGTACCTTTACAGGAATTGTCCTGGAAGACCAGACATCATACGTTTGTACAAACTGAAGCAGAAGACTGGACTTACCTTGTTATATTTTTCACTTCCCCTATAGGAAATATAACTGAAGTCAGTTCTAGTATATGCGAGCGCCGCAGACAGGCCAACTCCCCGTGGCGGTTCTTCAAATCTTTATTCCGCTTCTCCACGATCACGCTGAGCTTGTAATTACGCCTCTGAATCTTCTCCTTCTTCTCCTGGTGCCTCTGGCTTCTGAGGTAAAGTTCCTGGTTGTGTTTTCTGGACTTGGACAATAGATCTGAATCTAGAAGTGCGAGGAATAATTGTGGCGTTAATGAAGTATTCTGGAATGCACTTCACCCTGAAAACTGACACAAGTCACACGTGGAATCCCCTCCCAGCTCCTCATCCCCCCAAACTCCACTGACACATTTCCATGTAGGAGTTTGCGTCACTCTCCGGCACCTGGACTTTCCAGCTACTTGTTTATTCTAAATAATGAATCAGAGGAATCCAAACTCCCTCGTTTGTTTAAAGTTCATCTAAACCCAAGAACAAAAACGTAATATATGACATCTTACTATTTCCTAGACGTGGTGGCTGCATTCGTTTTCTTTTTCCAGCCTCTCTTTCCTTTATTTTGGCCAGGTTAACACCATTTTCCAGACCAGATCTGGAATGCAGTGCATTGTGTTTTGCCACGATTTTGAGTTTTTTTTTTTTTTTAGCAAGCAGTAGATATATGCAAAATGATTTTAAAAAAACTTTCAAAGGGTTAATACTTTCCTGTTTCTTTGCCACGCCCTCCCGTCCGAATATCTGAAAATTTCTCAGGCAGCCGCAAAGGATCTTGGGGCGGGCGCATGCGCAGTTCAGATGTTTGGCCGGGAGTCGAGGAGAGACACAAGATAAGTCTATGGAGCAGTGTGCACCCGCACAGACACCGTGGGACATCAGAGGAGAGGAGGACAGAGGAGTCAGCGCTGGATCAGAGACCCGCGCCAGCACTGGAGGGACAGCTGAAAACTACAGGAAAGAAGAAGATGATCAGATTAAGAGGCATCATTTAGGGTAAGTCCTTACATTAGCAGTGTGGGGAGGGGGAAAACTTTTGTCCTTAATGTCACTTTAAATGATGCCTCTTGATCCGATCATCATCTTTTTTCCTGTAGTTTTCCGCAAATCCCTCCAGTGCTGGTGCCGGTCTCCGATCCAGCGCTGACTTGTGACTTAACTAGCACTTCATGTCCCACGGAGTCTGTGGGGGTGCACGCTGCCTCCATTGACTTACCTTGCGTCTCTCCTCGTCTCCCAGCTGAAGATCTGAACTGCGCATGCGCCCGCCCCAAGACTCTTCAGATGTTGGGACGGGAACGCGCTGCAAAGACACAGGTAAGTTTAAACCTCTTTGAAAAGTTTTTTTTTTAAAATGTTTTTGCATCTGTCTACTGCTTGCTAGCAGTAGACAGATACAAAAAAGGCTGAGGGTTTAATAACCCTTTAAGGAGCTGCATGTGTGTTTAGGTAAAGGTATTTGTAAAAAAAAACAAAAAAACCTTCCACATGTAAAAGTGTGCAAATGCAATGCATATAAACCTGAGGGCAACTCCGGTCCCGTAGCTGCGCTTTAAATCCCAACGTGCCTCTGCGAGTCATGCCTTTAACAATCAGTCTTGCAATGTCTCATGGGACTTGTAGTTCCACAACTGCTGGAGGGTCAGAGTTGCCCACCCCTGATCTAATGCCTGTATTTATAAACGTCTATGGATAATATGGCATTTCAAAAATGTCTGCATGTGTGAGCTTAGAGAAGATAACTTGATCTGACCACATGCAAGAAACAAAAATGGAATGCACTGAAAACAAACTGGTTCCTGTACATACTTGCATAATAGGAGACCGTAAATATTTTGTAAGCTGTATAGGAAGAAACATGCCAGACAGGTATACATTGTAAAGTGACATAAGTCCTTAAAGCTGAACCCCAGGCAGATGTGAAAGACATAATTTAAAGCAGCTCTGTAATAATTAAGACATCATTACATTTATTTCTTTTTTTTAAGGCTAGCAGTGCAAGTACCTTATTCTGACCAGGTATCAGCCTCCTGCGGACCCTATACAACAGGGCCACAGAGTGAAAGGAGAAAAGCAGCACAAGGAGCATGCTGACAGAAGACAGCAGAGTGTCAGAGGGATGAACCAATCACTATGCTGCCTCTCCTTCACTGTCCAGTTACAGGTTGGAAGAGTGTCCATTAATGCCAGGGTCAGAGACGTGGGGTAAATGGAAGCTGGCCTTCCATTAACTTGGAAGACCAAATACATCTTGTAGTGGGAAAGAAGTACTTTGAGGGGCAGCTCTGTATTAAAGGCGGGTATTGCTCTTTCAGTGGCCTATTATTTCTTGATCTGGAGTTCAGCTTTAACTAAACTTAATAGGTATTAGAACAGGGGTAGCCAAACTGCGGCCCTCCAGCTGTGATGAAACCCCATTAGGCATTGCGAGTCTCTAACAGCCACAGGCATGGCCTACTGAGGCAGATGCATAATAGTATTTGTAGTTTCCTCACAGCTGGAGGGACGCAGTTTGGCTACCCCTGTATTAGAACATGACTGGTGGAAAAATTGCAATCAGGTAACTATTCCAAACTTGTGTTAAATGAATATTTGGAAATTTGAAGGTTCCTCAGTCCATAAACCAGGATGGAATTTTCTTCACTATTCAGCAAATCATTTTAAACAGAAGATTATAGAATAAACAAATGGAGAACAAGGAAAGATGTGTCACTGGAATTTGGAGAGTGAAATCATTTCTTCCAGAGCTGCCTGTACAAAGTGTAACTTGTGCTTTCCGAAATAAACTCAGGTTTTCACAAACATTAAAATATTGGCCAGACGCACCTCTCCAACTACTGGCCACTCGGTGAGCAGACAGGGCGGGTGAGCGAGACCAACAAGACTGTGGCTCACACTGGTTTATTTTCAGTTCACAAGAACCAGCCAGCTGGCCATATAACACACGCACACACACAGGCTTTCCTGCTCTGGTCTGGCACAGGAAAGGGGGAGGACAGGTATTTCATAGTGTATGCAAACATTCAATGATTAGATCTTTTCCCACAGACTCTCCAAAATCCTAGAACAGTACAGGCTGTTACACACCCTCTACGCCTGAACACCCCAACAACGCTCAAGACTTACTCTTTGCCATATCGTCCTTTCCATTCCAGATGCTCTGCTTTAGTTGTTCAATCCTCATCTTACAAGACATGATCTTCCATTTCTGAAAAAGAAAATAGATTGTTTATGCTTATTATGGATGATTAAATAAGTGCAACCTAGTAACAAGTCACTGCTAACGTATAGATATGTACTAGGGATGCACTGATACCGATACTAGTATAGGTATTGGTGCCGATACTGAGTATTTGGGTGAGTACTCTATCAGTGATGATACTGAGTATTTGGGCGAGTACTTGTACTCGCCCAAATGCTCCGATACTTACCTCTGATACCGGAAATTCTGGTCAGGGGGGAGATCTCCCTCTGACCGCAAGTGCCGAGGGAGCATTGAGCCAGCTTCCTTTCCAATCAGGAAGCCAGGCAGTGGGTTATGACCCGGCCTCCCTGATTGGCTAGGAAGCCAGCTTCACTTGTTGGTAGGCACCCTGGCTTCCTAACCAATCAGGAAGCCGGGCAGAACCTAATGACCCGCCTCCTGATTGGTTGGGAAGCAACGCTGCCTAGCAACAAGTGATGCTGGCTTCCTAGCCAATCAGGAAGTCAGGAGGCGGGTCATGACGTGCTGCTCGGCTTCCTGATTGTCTAGGAAGCCAGTGTCACTTGTTGCTAGATGGCCTGGCTTCCTGACCAATCAGGAAGCCGGACGGTACCTCATGACTTGCTGCCTGGCTTCCTAATTGGACAGGAAGCAAGGCAGCCTTGGCAAGTGAAGCCATTTTGCTAGAACACCAGCTTCACAGGCAATCAAGAAGCCGTGTAACAGGTCATGATCCGCCACCCGACTTCTTGATAATCTGGGCACACAGCACCGGTACTCGGTTTAAAAAAAAAAAATAATAATAATTTGATACTGAAAAACCAGTATCAGTGCATTCCTACTATGTATACTGGTAATGAAACACATAGAACAAACAGTCTCCAGAGGGAATGGGAACTGATTGGGCAAAGTGACAGCAATGTTTAATTATGCCATATCATATGTGTCATCGTACCATTAGGCCTGGTTCACACTAAGCGTGTTGTCAGCTGCTGAAGAAGCGCAACAAAATGCTTCACAAAAAAAATCCAACTCATTCTTATTGCCCCCTGTTCACACCTGAGCGTTTTGTCGCAATAAGCAAAAACACCACTTGAAAGTACATGAGCTTCTTTTTGGCAGATTACAGCTCATTTTGTCCAAATAGAGTGAAAAGGAAAGGCGCATCATAAAAGCACGCACAGGCAGTTGAAGCTCTAAAATGTGCAGCAAAAAATGCTTGTTTCAGGGCTTATGCACTACAATACGTGTGTGCGTGTGTGTGTGTGTGTGTGTGTGTGTGTGTGTGTGCTTGTGTGCGTGTGCTAACAACTCCCATTTTAGGAAAGCTGAAATCCCAGTAACAATTTCTGTGGGTGGAAAAGGGCCGTAGCACATACCAGCTTATCTGTAACCAGATTCCCCTCTATGACAGTTGCAACTCTAAAAGAAAAAAAAAGAAAAAAATATAGCACTTGTATGTAAAATGTGAACGTTATCTTGCAAAAGCAAACAGAAAACTACAAAACATTTTCTCTGACTACTGGCAGAGTATTAGGGCTCAATTATTAGCTCATTGATTAGCTATCACAGTGATCACATGATTGGACCTGATCCTATCAGCTCCTGATTGCTAGTCTTAAACTGGCCATACACCTATAGATGATCTGCGGATTTTCGATGGTCAGATGGAAAAAGTGCAACAGATTCCTCCATCTACGCTAAACTGTGTGGCTGGAGGAATCTCCCACTGGGCCAAGCTTCAGTATCTTGCTAGTCGGCCCCGCTGGCTCTCAAAATATCTGAGCAATGACTGCATCCAATCAGATTAAGATATTTTGAGAGCCAGCGGGGCCCACTAGCAAGATACTGAAGCTTGGCCCAGTGGGAGATGCCTCCATACACACAGTTTGGCATAGATGGAGGAATCTGTTGCACTTTTTCCATCTGACCATAGAAAATCTGCAGATAATCTATAGGTGTATGGCCAGCTTAAGACCAGGAGCTGCCCTTTATATCATACAGGTTTTGTTTCATCAGCTTCTGTACAAATGCTTAAATTAATAGGTTGTGTGATTTTTAAGCCTCATTCACACGAGAAAAGGCCGGCACGTACAGCTCCGTGCTGTATGTGCGGCCGTATCGGGCAGCTCCTGGGAAGGACAGGTGCTGCGTGTGATTAGTACACACCCCCTGTCCTTCTCTATGGGACTACACGGCCGTACGCCGCGCTACGCTCACCCGCCCTGCACTTCCGTGCAGGTGTGATCGGGGGATAGATCCTGTCTGCGTCCGAGCCGGGACACCCGCACCCATATGGACCTGCACTTGGAGTGAGTGTAGGGCGGAGTAGTCCCATAGAGAAGGACAGGGGCTGTGTACTAATCACACGCAGCACCTGTCCGATACGGCCGCTCATGCAGCACGGAGCTGTACGCGCCGGCCTTTTCTCGTGTGAATGAGGCCTTAGAGAATTAAACTAACTTGCACATATTTTTCTATACTTCAAAGCATGGTGAATGTTTGTACAACACATCGAAAGACTCTCTCCCGGAATGTCTACAGTCTGCCTTCACTGTCTGAAGAAGAATGTTTTTGCCAAGTGCCACTTACTGTTTTTGAAAATCCAGCTGTGTTTCTCTTAAGCGGTTTAATCTCTCCCTCTTGTCTGCAAAACTGGAAAAAAAAGAAAGAAAGATGAAAACAGTTCAGAGTGCAAGTTTGGGATTAGCAAATAAAACATGGACTGCAATACTGATCAATATCTCCTTCAGTGATGTAGAGCAGCGGTTTTCCACCTCTCTCCAACCAGGACACACATTCCTGTCCCGGATGATGGCAAAGCTTTGTTTATTTTACATGTTGCCACAAAAGCTAGAACTACGTCCATGTAGCTTTGAACACAATTGTTACATATGCTTCAAATTACATTTTTAGCAACATGAAAGAATGATTTGAGTGTTTTTACAAAACTATTATGCTCCCTTCTCTGTTTGCTTATAAGAAATGTACTGGCTATAGTCCAGCTGACTCTTGCAATAGGTGCAAGTGATTTCATGGTGTCACAACCAAAGCTCCTTTCCTTATAACGTCCTAATTAAATGGCATCTGAAGCCGCTAATCGCAAGTCAAATACACCACACAACTAGCCGTCGAGGGGTGCCCTTTGTGTCATTTGAAGGTGACCTTTCAGTAACTTTACAAGTCGGCATGTATAAATTGCTGACATGTCATGCCAAACAGCAAAAGTTGTTTTTTTTAAAATAACTAAATCATCGGGCAAGTGACTTTGCTGACGATAAGGTGATGACATCAGCCTGCTGCAGGCAAGAGGAAACATTTCCTCAATCTCCTCTTCCCCAGTGTTCAGACTGCAACACTAACTTTGTAGCCAGTCATAAGGTGAAAGGCTGTAGCAGGGGGCTCCTCTGTGTCAAATATTTGTGAACCCAGCCAAGAACTGCAAAAGCAACAGGGTTTACATAATTGTGTCATCTCAGTAGGCAGGTGCTGACCATTGATGATGTCTGAGCAAGCATGGCACATGAAGGTATTGCGAGAGGCTGTTCTACAAGCTCTGTGTGAAGTAAAAAAAAAAAATACCCCTAACAGGTACACTTAAACATTACTTAGCATGCATTACACATGAAAAAATGTGAACATGCAGCTAGTCTGCTTTAATTTTGCTGACATGGCTCAGCGCTGCACCACACTTCACTGGGTACAAAATACACCACTATGCCGTCTTTATTCTGTGCGTGACAATTTACCATATACATGAACTTTAATGGCATCCCAGTCTTAGTCCGTAGGGTCCAATATTGAGTTGGCCCGCCCTTTGCCGCTATAACAGCTTCAACTCTTCTGGGAAGGCGTCCACAAAGTTCAGGAGTGTGTCTATGGGAATGTTTGACCCTTCTTCCAGAAGCACATTTGGGAGGTAAAGTACTGAAATTGGACGAGAAGGCCGGGCTCACAGTCTCCGCTCTAATTCATCCAAAAAGGTGTTCTATCGGGTTGAGGTCAGGACTATGTGCAGGCCAGTCAAGTTCCTCCACACCAAACTCGCTCATCCATGTCTTTATGGACCTTGCTTTGTGCACTGGTGCGCAGTCATGTTGGAACAGGAAGGGGCCATCCCCACACGTGCATACATACCAGGACCAATTTAGACAGGAGAAAATTAACCTTCCAGCATGTCTTTGGAGTGTGGAAAGAAACCGGAGTACCTGGAGGAAACCCACACAAGCACAGGGAGAACATGCAAACTCCTTGCAGATAGTGACCTGACTGGGATTTGAACCAGGGACCCCTGGTGCTGCAAGGCAGAATTGTCCCATATTATTCATGTTTTTATGTTAAGTAGGGACGCACCGATACCAATAATAGTATCGATACCGAGTATTTGGGTGAGTAAGTGACCATCCAAGAGAGGTTTGCTAAAAATATATCAAATTTTATTTTGTAACTTAAATAAATGTTATTGAAAAAAAAAACCAATGCATTACATGTATCTGTCAAAACCCTGCGTGAGCTTTGTTTGCATATTTACTGGTTGGGTATATACATATTAGTAAATCCAAGTATTCAAACTTAACATGATAATAATCACACAGTTGACAACAACATGATTGCCCCTATAGTGGCGTATAATCTACTCAGAGGAGATCACCTTGGAGGCAAGCAGTTAGCCTTACACCACCAGGGAGACTCAATAGGACTGCATCAATATCCAGCCGAGCCCTTTTCCCAATACACTTCATCTTTAATAACGCCTCCCGGTGAGATTGGCTGGACGGCCGGATGCCGTCTCCCTCCGTGTAGCCCTGAGGTTCTGGGTGTGATAAAAAGGAGATTGTGAAGGTGTTGGTGTGGCTATCCGGCCTCAAATAACATTTATTTAAGTTACAAAATAAAATTTGATATATATTTTTAGCAAACCTCTCTTGGATGGTCACTTACACCCCTCCAGAAACCCTATTACCCCTTACTTCTTTTCTACTAATGCACTCTATCTAGGGGGAGAGGTGTAAACTAGGTGCCCACAGGAAGGCAACCCACGACTTAGCTATTTGGGTGAGTACTCATCCAAATGCTCCAAAACTTACCTCCGATACTGGAACTTCCGATCAGAGGGTGATCTCCCTCAGACCGGTAGTGCCGAGGGAGCATGGAGCCAGGTTCCTTTCCAATCAGGAAGGGGGGGGGCGGATTATGACCCGCCT